CACGCCGCTCATTATATACTGCATCTCATCCATGTCCTTCTCTGGTTGGCTGCCTTTCATTCCCGCATGCCATTGGATCGCAGAGAGACACGGGATTGGCTGAGGCCAGGTGGTCCAACATGTCTGCGCCCTGATCCGACGCCACACCACACCACACAACACCACAGCTACACCACACCACACCACACACCACAACACCGTAACACTTCACGCTTCACTGCACATGAAAACAGGTTTTTGCCGTGGTGTCACTCATTTTCCCCCTCGAATTGATATTTATCTTTCTTGTTGTGAGTTTTAGTAATGATGTGTTGCATTTATCTGATGTTGGGATTGTTTTTTTAACGTAAAGAGAATATTTTTGTTGTTGCACTTCAGATGCGCAACATTACATTCGTCGATCGCTTTGAAATTCCTGATGTAACAACCACAACTTCGAATAATTTTTTTCTTTCTGATGTCGATGATGATGGGGTTAGTATGATCAAATTACTGAAATCCGGTTTTTAGGATGTTGAATTACTAATTGGTCATTGGGACCTTGGTAACCTAGAGGGGTGTGACGACTCAATTTTTCCGAGGGGATCTCTCCATGTTATTAAATATGGTAAAGTTTGGAAAGCAGCTCATGATCTTCAGATGGTTACCTGTGTTACAGCTGGCCGACTTTGTTTCAAGGAAAAGGTATTTACCTGGATTTTAGGAAATTTAATAACGCCGGTCATTTCGTTCAGCTGCAGGACGCAGTGCTTATTAAAATCCCCTTAGTGTCATAATGAAATGTCTGTTAACAAATGACTTCGTCACTCTATCTCTTCCTAACCGCTTTTACTCCTTTGTTTAGTTTCCTAGGTCGTGCCTTACTCCTATATACCCGACCTTGTTTATTATTATTATTATATATTTCAAATTTTTCTGTTCGATGGTCCTTCCTTACCCTCAGAATCGGACTTTATAACATTTTCTCTAGCAACTCTATCCTTTTAAAATATGGTTTGAAGTCTTGACCCCAAGCGTTTTTGTGAATTCTGGGTGATATTTAAGATAAGGTGAATGATACGATACGAATCTCAATTATTGCGACATTTTTCGACAGACATCGATTGTTGTCCTCTGTGCTGATGCCCAATGCCATATATTTGATGCTACATTCGACAGCTCCAGCCATTTACAATCAATTTGCTGTCAAAAATTGGCTTGCAATGCGAAAGATGCTCGCATTTTGGAGGGAGGTGAGTTGGCATGGTTTTTGTCATTGGTAACTTGAGATGGCCCCTGTGACATGGCGGTAGCCTACTCAGATAGAGTTGTACGCCTTTTTCGTTGGGTCCCTCAGAGTAAAACGGACAAGAAGCCCGGGGAGCTTGTTCTCCTCATAAAGTGGGAGCTGGCCGGTCAAGTAAAGCTTCACTTACACGATATTTGTCTAGGTCAGCCGAATAAGCCTGCATTCAACCTCTAAAGCGTCAAATCTGGTGAGTGCGCAATTATATGCACACCAATGGCTAAAATAGATTCTTGCTTCTCAGCCTGGTGGCGGATTTGCCTTCCTTCAAAAAAAATTTGAAACCTATGAAAGCCGTATGTGGTGAGTTAGTATTTTACTAACCTTTTTGGTAGCCCCACTCTTGTATACCATCCACCAAGGAAAAATCCTAATCAGAATACTGAAACGCGAACTTGGCTAGTAGGCGATCTCAGATGTAATACAGCTAAACAAAGTACTTCGTTAATCGGCCTTTGCTTGGCCGATGGCACTCTTCAGTTAATTTCAGCTGATCTACACCAAAGTGAAGCAATGTGGTCAGTTTCCCTACCAGTGAATGGCGAATTGTTTGGCCTGTCCAAGTTTGACCTGACGGTGAGCCTCCCTCCTACTGAATGCACCTTTTAAGTGTAAAATAATTGCAAATCCTCTAAACTTCAGAATAGTGACGCTGACGAACTGGCCGTTTGTTGTTGGGATGGTTCAACGTACATTTGCAATCAAAATGCAGATATTCTTCATTTTCCTGTTGGACAGGCCTGTCAGGCTTTCACTGCCGGTCGCCTAGCAATATCACCAAAGGTGAATGTGCCTGTTTTGGTATATGCCACCTGCGAACAATCTACGCTCATTTTCTACAATCTTGATGTCAACTCTGTACCGTCTTACTCCCTACATAACGCCCTCTCAAATCGTCCAGATGTGTTAGAAAAGTTTGCGAAGTACCATATCAGTTGTAAGTTCCGTATTCAGCTATTTTATCCATTAAATCACGGCGACAGCGTCGAAGGTAAATATTTTTCACGTAGAATAATTGATATACAAAGTATATCTGTCCGTTCTATTTCCCCCAGTGGTTTGCAATTTGTCTGATGGGTTGGCTTAGCCTACCTTGCTTCACATCAGGTCTTTTGTCAATTTTATACTAATGCCTTTCTGCATCCTGGTAAGATGCTCTGTATTGAAGTAGTCTGCGCATACTCCGAAGTATTTGTATGACTTTCTATTTTAACGAGTAAAATATCTTTGATATCACTTACAAATACTATTATAACCCTCAATGTCCGCTTTCATTTATTTGTTATCACAGTATATGCGAAATTTATAGTTCCCTTAGTTAGCATTGTCCCTTTAGTGATATATTTTGCTTAGACTCTCTTCATGCTTGCATCTTCTACCTAACTCAGTCTTATCAACGGATTTTAGGTCTTTTTTTCAATCGGTTCCACTAAAGCACTGTTTATTACAATGTTAGTCCTTCTCTTATTACTGACTACTTTTACTCTGTGTTGTTTAAATGAATAGGGATGGTAATTTTTGTGATGCGCTTTATTTCTTCAACGCGATTACAACTCATTCGGAGTTGTAGTGATCTAAGAACCTAGAGAGAGAATTGTGCACACTTACGTATTTACAAATGCCTATTTCCAATGACGATTTTTTCCACTTCAGATTCTGACCCAATAAAGTTGCGCAAGGCAATTCGCTTTCTACTCTACCACCCACCCCGCCACCATCATTAGTCAAGTCTGATGAGAAATTCTTCTCAATAATGTATTACGCTATTTTTAAAGAAATTGGTCGATCTTTTCACCTGCCCCACACTTCATGACCATCTTCGAGATGTCATCTTTTCTTGCAGGAGTTACTTTCCACTTCATTCGATGGACCGACTTCGTTAGTCTGATTTTGGTAAAACTCAATCGTTTCATTGTTAATAGGCACTAGGGCTCTTGAAATATTCTGGTCGCGTGTACCCACGGGTGTACTTTCAAGCTCCACGTGTGTTTTCAAGGATGGGCTTTGTTTTTTGCACTCAAACATACGGAATGCCGTAGCGTGGGAACCTGTTTTTCGTAATGAATGCCGACAGCCTCTACTACGGGAGACCCACAGGGCGATGTGGTCGTCTCCAGTGGGCTACATTGTCTTCGTCATGCATAGCCTACACCTATGCGTCTTTGCTTATACTTGCAGTCTTTAAGCCAGCATTCCACGAACATTCTCACTTTAATCCCTGGAATGTTTGAGCAAAATACGAGCTGGCCACAGTTGACTTGCCAGGCTGGGCCACTTCATTTGTGGCGGCTCTAGTCAGATGCACTCAGAGTTGAGTGTTGGTGATGGGGCGGCCCCATGGCTTGCAAGTGGACAATAGCAATGCTGCTCATAGGTGAGGCATGCCATGCGAAATCTGGTCAGCCCGAAAAAGGACCCGGGTCCACTCGTCCTTTTGACAACTTAACTGAATTAGCTTTCCTAGGGTGGTGTTACCTATTTGGAGTCATTTACTGTGTTTGTCGATTTCAGAGGCGTGTTTTATTAAATGGCAAGTCAGACTGTTGCTACGCCAATGACCTCGAGGCACTTGGGCAATTTTTTACTCACCCTTTTCGGAGTTGTGTCAACATTGTGATCAGCATTCATTGAATATGTCAAATTAGTGTGGAAGTTGCTACTTTCCGTAATCATCCTCGCTCCAATTAAGTTTAATTTAAAGCCTAGGTTTTGCGAAGACAGTTGAAAAGCCTATGCATAACTAACAAGGGCTCGATAACCTGTGTAGATTTTCGATTCAAACAAGCAGCACCCATTTATGAATCTCAGTGTCTAAATTAAGTAGAAGAAGACTTCTTCACAAGTTAAGAACGGAGGTCGACTTAAGTGCTAGGTCACTGCAGCCCTACCTTTGGCTTTCTGCCAAACTTGCCGAAGACGTTAAAAGGAAGCAGGTACGGCCACAAATGGCATTACTTTTTTAGTAAGTTGAACATGCGCACAAAACTATACGCAAAGGGGAGGAGGATGGGGGGCGTGACGCTATCAAGACTGGTTTGTACGATTTTATGTAGGCACACATACAGTCAAGTCAATTATTGTTTAGCTCTGTACAATCTAATTACCCGGCCAAATGTGCCTTTGCACTGCCTTAATTACATCGCCGAGCAACAAAAGCATTTCACCATAATACAGGAAGGTAAGGATCGCCCAGATGATGCAGAGAATAAGCCCGACGATGCAGGCAATAATGACGCAACGGCGTGCCACATCCGACTTGCTCCGATACGAGTGCATATCATTGGCCCGGTAGTCGGTATACGCACAGAGGGAATAGGCAAGGGCGGGGAGGGAACACCAACAGGTGATCGGACAGCAGAATATGGCAAAAAGACTGCAGATGGCAGGACACCGGTCGTATGGCTGTTGTATTTGTTGATGCTGGTTTGTAGGGGCGGCGGCGGTGGTTGTATACATAAGGGGCTGGGCGTGGGATGCAGCGACGAAAGACTGACCGCCAACAATGTGGTTTCCTACTGGACCACCACTGGTGTAGACGTATTCAGTGGCTGGGATTACTTGAGGATGACTGGGAAGGGTCATGTATCGATAGTTGGCTGCCGCTGCTGCAGCGATGGCTTGTTGCTGGTGCACCGCGGCCGCTTGGGCTGCAGTCAACGTGGACACTGGGATGGCTTAAATGAATGTGAACAATCATTGGCCTGAGGAAGCGATGGACTAAATTGCTTTGAACTTGTTTAAACGCGGAATTTTAACTACCTCTTCGGGCAAATTTGCGATAAATCTAGCACAAGTACAGTTGGAGCACCATAAAATAAATCTCACGACATTTAATTCTTCAAAAATCGAATCTGATGATACAAATAAATGAATATGTCTAAATAAGCGATGTCACAATATGTGCGATTTTGACAAGGCACTTGCATTGCTGATTTTAGAAAAAATCCGCAATGATCGAAATTTAATTATTTGTGCCTGTGTTCGATAGGATTTGACTATGCGTGCATGCCTTGTTAAACGATCGCGCGCATTAGGGCATACCGTTCCCTGTTTCCTTGCCTGTTGGTGATTTAAGTAAATTGATGTCGAAAAAAATATTACAATTTGAGTGATCAGGACTTAGCCACAAATCATAAAAATGAAATGTTTACGTGTAATTTGGCATAGAAACAGTGATTACATTGCATCTGTGCCAAACATTAGTGCTGAATAGGGGATGACTTCCTCGACATACAACACTTTACGAAACACGACCACACAAGTCCTAAAGAGCAATGGAGCTGAACGTGACAAGGTAGAGTCATTGTATTCAATCTGATGGATAATATTTCTAACGGGCACCGGAGTTTTTGGTCTGTTATGGTTTAGCACATAACAGAAGTAAATGGTGAACACATTAGATATGACCACCAAAGCAAAACAGACGGCAATGCTGAGAGGATCTACCAGAAAGACTTCCGTGGCCGTCGTACATCACGTCACCACCGGCGATGCGCGGACCGCCCAGTGAACCGAGTGAGCCACGAACGCCGTTGCCATCGCTCTGTGCTCCCTCTACCTCCTCCGCAACCTCCACCGCCTGACCCTGCGATGAGAGCCCCTGTTGGTCCATCTCGTAGGACTGGTGGTCTTTGGAATTATACATTTCTTCTGTAGGCACACCTGGGAGAAGATGGGAATGCAACCACAAATCAGGCACGTAAAGCCACTGACAATTCCATTTCTGTTTACTATATCACACGCATTGTTCTTTGTTAACTGAGCCCACGTGTAACCATTGCGGCAAAAGAACCACAAAATAGTAAACTATGCAAATTTTACATTGACTAAGATTCGAACCTAGAAAGACAGAATAATACACTTTGCTGTTTAAAACCAATTAAAGCTACCAATGCATACCAGATTCGTCACACGTTAAAATAAACAGCTACCCTGCTTAAGCCTCCTTCTAAACATGAGTTTTCCCCTTAGACAAAGTGGTATTTTTAGACGCGTTTGCCACTACACTATATTCGCCATTGGCCAGCTCACGATATTCGCTCAGGCAAGCCAGCAAGCACACGTCGATAACTTGGACAACTCCGCGAAGAAATTCACCGAGGACAAAAAGCAACATGTCGTTTGGTGACCGCTCCATTGCGTGAATGCAACCATTGCAAAAAGGTTCACAAGTACCCACCAAATGCTCTTTTTTATGGCGCAAACAAAGTTGGCAGACTGATTCGCAGACTGAATAAATTTGACTCATTAAGACCTCGAACAGGAGATCACGTTACATGCTGTTATCTCAAAAGGTCACAATGTTCTTTGAAATTTTAAAGGCTCCGAAGCGGTAATAAACTAAGTCCTCTTCTCGAATAGGGGAGGATGGTTGAGCATGATCATAGATAGAGGAATCCGCATTCTTAAATTTTGAGCCTTCCGAGTACCGATAATTGCAACTTTCCTTCCGTGAAAATCAGTAGGATAGAATGTACACATATTTTTAAAAAAAAAGTAGGAAATAATCAGACTATGATATAAAAAAATTGCTTCAAAATAAATCCACCGCCAGTTTGTCTTAGTGATTTGCAAAAAGGCACAAATGATAGAAACCTTTAGAAGAAAAAAACATTACATTCATTATTGGTGCACATTCTTCTGGTTCGAAATGATTGTTCCAACCAGGAGAAACGCTTCTATTATGTAAATGAACCATAGAAAAAATTGTTGAAAATGGTAGTGTCGAACTATACGTCGCGCTAAGAAAAAGCCTTTGTTGTTCTGAGAAAAATACTTTGATTTCACAGAGCGGCCGAAGTGGTGCTGCAGGGGCAACCCATTTGAATCCGTAAAATTTTGTTTATTTGGGCCTTATATATAGTTAGTAAACAGATTCTGAGTCCCAAAAGTATTCCAAACCGAGATAAAAGTAAACGTAAAGGGCAGAATGTGGGAATTCAGCAAATTTGATATCATATTTTTGGCACCAGGATCGCTTTGTACCACGGTAGAAGGTTTAACTTTCATATCTAATCAAAACTTGGCTAGTAAATGAGAGAATTTACACATTATTTGTAAAATTGCTAATTCTAAATGAGTCCAGCCTGTGGACACCAAGTTAAAGGATGCAAGGATCGCGTATAGCGCAAGCAAATTGGGTGCAGGATTCATAGCGAGTACACGTTTGTCGATTTAATACTCACTTCCAAAGATAAACCGCTGTATGATCGACGACAATAAGAGAATGAACCAGGTGACATGATAAGTGGCGGATTTTGCATCTGCTGAGAAAGATGGGACAATGCCATAGTGAGGAGAAAGGGGATTTTCAACAAAAAACACACCTCTCCATTTAACTTGGCAGCATGGGCAGGAACGTAAAGAAAGTGCTCACCTTTAAATGCCGAAGATAATTAAACCGGAGCTTGCCGGAAGTAGTTTAAAAACGCCAACAAACAATTTAGTCACTTTAATTATGTGCTCGGACACAAGGTTGGGGTTGCAGAACTTGGATAAATTACAAAAACAATTACTTACAACAGTAAGGCTGATTTAGACTAACGGTTGAATTACCAAAAAATTTCTTCACTGATTATTCACATAGAAACAGATCAAGAAATGCTTTTTTTTACATTCCTATACACGCTAAGACGGCATAGCAGTAACTACCGGACCCCGAATATGATCCAATCAGAACATATTGAGCAAGAATGTCATTAAACCTATGGAATCTATGTGTCCACTGTTTCCACGACTGATGCTGGTATCACCAAAGCGCGACTTTAATGTAGCAAAATAGACAAAAAAGGTGCGCTTGCGTTCATATTCTGCTGCCAATGCTCTACCAGAACCCCCTTTGTGTATTTCGAAAAGAAAGTCTTTAATTTTAATCGAAAATACATGAAATCAACGCATCAAATATATTTAAGCATATGAAAAGCCAAACAGTTTGGTCCTAGAATCCTAATATTTGGTGTAATGGGTACCATATAGAAATTATAAAAGCAAGATTCCAATCAATTGATGAACAGAATATTCATGTGTACTTCAAGATAAAAAAAAACACACCAGCCAGAGCCACCAAGCGGAATGGCTCATCCTTCTATAAAACCACAGCATCAAGGGCGGGCCTCACCATAAGACGTTTTCCGGACCCCACGGGTGCGGCCTGTAGAATGCCCTTTGTGTAAATATCAATAAACATCACGATCTAAACAATTCTTGGAAGTTATCCGTTAACCGACACTTCAAGGATTGTGGCGAGCAGCAAGCGAACGCAGCAATCGTGAGCGAACACGATTAGATTGGTTTACGTGAATGCACTTCACGTAACTGTTTTAGCCAATGCTATATAAACTGGCGTGTTATCTTGTACATCGACACACACCTCTACTGCATCAATAAGTTGGGCTGTGCGCAATCTGCGTTTCTACTCTTTCTTCAGACGGACCGTGCCAGTGCAAATCGTCGGCCCTGGTGTGGTTCTCAAAACCTCGCCGGGGGCCTCAACAGGATGATCTCGAATCTTCTGACTTGCAACGAATCCGAAGGCTGAGCGAATGTAGTCAAAACCAGTCTCATGTAAATTGCTACTCGATATTATGGCTGATTTCAATGGGCAATAAATGCACTACTGTCTATGGAATTTCCATGCATTATACTTTTTAATGAATCAGTATGTAATTATTTTTTTTTAAAAAACAAGACGTTCTAGGCATTTGAATTTTTTGGAAGTGTGTTTGGTCAACGTTGCATCATTAAAAAACTAGTAGACATTCTACAAGTTGGCGTAATTTTTCATCTGCATGCTACTGCTACATCCTTTCAGATCTGATGCAACGCCCTCAAAAGTTTATTTAGCTACCCGTCGTCCGATGGCATAAAAGTTGGACGTTAGAGATCAAGCACATGGTTAACTTGTATCGTGACCATTTCCCTCCTATGAAGTTGAGTTGCGAATGCGGTTAAACACGAATGCATTATCATCTCAAGAGCAATGATTTTAAAAGCATATAACTGAAAGCTTTTCCCATAATGCAGAAGACCGATATAATGGTACGCTTCATCCGTGATAATTAGTATGGCCATGCGAATGCCATTTTAGCAGTTATGAGGGGAAGGAAGGAATAAAAATGCCGGAAGTGAGAAGGCATGAAGCCGTACACAGAAAAATTGCAAAATGTGGTTGAGCAGGCATCCGCGTGCCACCAGACTAATTACACTAAAAGACCCCTAACACATAACTACTTACAGGTCACCATCCACACACAAAAGATAGCGCCAGTAATGAACCAAAGTCGGTCTCAAATGCGTTCATCAAGGAAATCATGGACGCAGCGCCCAGGTAGTCAACTGTTACGATTCTAGATGCCTTGAAGATTAACCGTCAAAAGGCGGGTTCATCAATCACAAAATGATGCAGCTAATGTTCACCAGGAAGCTAGAAATATAAAAGTTGCAAATGACTCCACCGAAACGGTTGTGATAAAGGAGGTGAATCGAGGGAAGAGGAATGAGAAGAAAATAATAAAAAATGAAATTGTGGAGGCCTTGTTTATTCACGAGCGTGAACGATTCCATAATCCTCGAGGATCTCAACATAAGTCATACGGGAAAAACTAGCATAGCAAGGAGAATTATGCGTGTAACGCTAGAACTGTCTTACCTAAAATGTTTTTTTTTATGTAACAAATAATAATTTTAACAGGATTAGAATGCCAACACGTTAAGAACAAGCAACTATTAATGCTGTCAGGAAGCAAATTGTAACTGCTGTGGAGCATTATACATAAAGGCCAATGCCACTTAACTCTGGTCCTGTTCTGCTTCTAGTAGATACCGCCAACCAACTTGTGGAGCTACCTGAATGACTGACTGTGCAATTAGGGGGTTCACACCACAATACATTCCCCAATATCACAGGTAACAAAAAAAGGTTTGTAACAATGTGAACGGATTGAATTTGTGAGCTTTTTAATTTTCCTCTTTTTATAGGAAACAGGTAAATGCTTTGAGATGAAGCTGGACCCCAAGCGATTGTAATAAACAGACGTAATGACAGTTGAATTTAACTTCATTAAGCTTCTTAAATATTTTTTACAAAGCACAATAATATCTAACGAAGATGTCGACGGTAAATCCAACAAAATCGTTTCCGGGCTTAAGACATACACAAGAATACAACTGTTGAACTCAACGTGCGATATCATAAAAGTGACGACTGAAATGTATTTTACTTCTCTGTCACACATCTCTGCCTCTCTGTCCAACTTCTGCAAGTCATTGGTCATAGATGTTAACTGTGAAAATGTATAAGAAAACGAAAACACAAATCTTGTTTCAAACACTCTTAAGGTCTACATGCACCCCAACTCGGGGGCAATCAAGTTAGCTCATGTAACTTGATGAGACACTTCATAGACTACTGCCAACATTGATTTACTCACTAAAACACAAAACATGGCAATTCAAATTAGACAAATATCGTCAAGAGTCTGTGGTGCTTCCTAGTCACCTATGACAATCGCTCTCTATCAGATTACACCCTTCTAATTGACCGGAAAACGATTGCCAAGACAACCAGTCAGGAAGGGCACCAAACACTGCAACAGTCCAATCGTCACACGTGTGTGGAACCTGACTGAAAAATGACCACCAGTTCACTACTGGCAGGGTTATCTGGCTAGTTAGTGAATTGTTTGATTCAGCACCTGTCATTTCAGCTGAACACATAAGTCCTCTAACCAAATTAACAACTCTGTAAGCCGCGATACTACAGTGCAAGTATCCGCTCCCTCGGAGGGCCTCTGACAAATGAGTCGGATTTCCTATTCGATTTGTAATTCGGATTGAGACTTGGATCCGCTGACATGCTGCAGAATGCGGTAATCAGTCCAGACTAGCGTTGTCTAGTCTTTCGATTGAACCAAGGCACTTCAAGACATAAATATCAGTTGAGGGAGTTAAGAACCGCTTCCTCGTGGACACTGGAGGAAACTTGCGTCATCGAATCCTTCTTCACGAGCTACCAAGTCTACCTCCGATGATTTCCACAAGGAAATCACCTTGGGTACTTATTTTAGCCCTGGGCTCCTTCCCTGCGTCCACACTTCCCTATTTTACCCTCCAGTTAACAGCACTTATGGCGAATCGGCG